CCGCCGGTCTGCCCTGCCGTTTGCGAGGGGCGCCCGCGCTTGCTGCTTTCCCTCCCTCCGGGTGCGAAAGGGGCGCAGGGCCGGGGAGCCAGCCCCGAGGCTGCTCCCGCTGTGCAGCGGTCTGTGGTGCCCAAGAGAGGCTGAGCTCGCTCTGCAACCTGACCCGTGCTGGCTTCGGTCGTGAGGTCTGCCTTGAGCAGCACGCTGCCCGCTTTTGCAGACTTGCCAGGACCAAGGTCTTCAGGACTCTCTGAAACGCTGTTGAGATGCGTTGGCAGACTTGAAAGGTGGGGACCGGCAGGATGATCAGATCAGCCTCGTTTCTGCAGGAAGCCAGCCTGCAAATAGGGTGGTGGTCTGTGTGCGAAAAGCATTGGTCAAATATAATTAGTGCACGTTATTACAGATTAGCTTGTTTTGAAATCATTGTAAGTGCCAGAATACATTTCCGCATTGTTTGTCAGAAGCAGCGGTTATTTAGAACAGTCTGTGGTTTGTGAGGTGTATCTTGGTTTATTGCTTTCCATTTCTGCAGGTATGAAATGATGTTATAGCCAGTGAATGCACAGCTATATAATTTGCAGCCTCCTGGGCCCCAGTTTTGCAATGGCTTATAAATACGTGTGTTTTTAAGTACTATCAGTACTTCCGTTGACCTCAGTGGGACTACTTATAGTGCTTTAAGTTAAACACACGTACGTTTTTCAGGGTAAGAGCCAAAGATGACTCATAGAAGTGCAAGCATCATGGATTTTTAGCTTTCCACCACTATTTGTTGTTACAACTTATGGTCTAATAGAGGTTAAATATATTGAGCTCAACTTCAGGTTCGGCTGTAAAATATCCAGTTTCAATTCTGCATGTTTCATCTTACTTGAATTTAATACTTCCTTGAAAAATCTGTAATGTTGGCACTGCTCACACTTTATCCTTCTTGGATCCTTTATCAGCTCCAGCAGCTGTTTTACATAAGTGTAACGGTTGAATAATATGTGTTTTGCAGATCATTATCTTTTCTGGCGTTCAGCAATGAGGGATCATTGTCTGCTTAACAATAATGGGTTTTCCAAAAGCGAAATGTGACAAACAATTTATAATAAATCAGACCTTGAAGAGTTTAATAGTGAAATGCAATGACCCATCACCACCAATGTTTTATGCATTATGCACTTGGTGCAAATATAGTGGAGAGCATATGCAGTTACTGAAGATGATTATCTTATTGTTATGAGAGGAAAACATTGCTCAATATTTCTTGCATTAAATAATTGGCTGAGCTTTCTGATGTCATTTTAGAAGGAGTCTCACGGACACTTGGGAATCTAATAATTTAAATTTAATAACTTAAAATGACAAAAATAACACAGGTGAAGTACAGGAGGTACTGGAATTATTCTCTAATAAATATAGAACGTTATTAGTTGGGAGGTTATTGTTTTGGAAGATTGGAAGTTATTCTGTGTGTTCGATTCAATAATGAGGATGACAGTTTGTCTTCGCTTCAGAGCTATTATGTTATAACTGCATTAAATGCTCTAAAGTCGAGTCCTGACTGCGTAAAAGGAAACATTAACATTAATGTGCAGTGGTACTTTTAACTCAAGACAGCTGGGCTTTTGAGTAATGTATGCTGAAGATTTGAGAAGCGCAGCTCCTCACTTGCTAGCACAAACTGTGACAGATGCTCAAGTGACAACTCTGGTAGTCCAAAGGTCAAAATTTTCAAGTAGTGGTCCACAAACCAGCAGCAATCCACGGCCTATTTTTAAGGAATCTGCAAATGGTTACCAAGAAAAGCAAATCTGTTGTCGGCAGCCTTAAATTTATTATGAAAATGTCTGTACATCGCTCTGAAAATACAAGGGATCTAAAAACAAAAAAATAAAAACCAATGCCGCAAGCAAAATAATTGTTGGTCAGCAGCAAACTTAATATTGTTTTTTCAGACTTATGCACTTGATGCGGCTAGGATGCTCTTTTTCCAGAGGCGACAGAGCTCAGTAACGCTTTCCCCAAAGTATAACTGGTGGAGAACAAGAGCAAAAGAAACCTTAGTCCTCTTAACTGTTTAGCTAAGGGAAGACTGCTTATTCAACAGAGTGGTGCAAGCACCGTGCAAGTGGTGCTCTTCTCTGTGCTGAGCTCATCTTAAATGAAAAGGCAAGAATCGAGTTAGAAAAAAAGAGTAGGGACAAAAAAAAAAAAAGAATGCAGAGATTGCTGATTGCTGTTTACAAAGGAAAAAGTGCGGGGACTGTTTTCAAGTTTTCCTTGCAGGTTTCCATGTGAGAGTTGGTTAGTCAAGCGTGAAGGAGAGCTGGACACAGCTGTATTCTTTCCCTTTTTCATTAAACTGATTTTGGCAGTAGCTGCAGCAGAAATGGGTCAGATGTATAGTTCTCTTCAGAGGTCAAATTTGGGATCTGGTTTGTCCCTGGACAAATTAGCTTTAACTGAAAAAGTTTAACTGAAAAAAAACTGAAAAGTAACACTGGGTAGTGTGTTATCAGCAAACTTTCCCGTTCCTGAATAGGCTTAATTTACCTCTGCTAAAAAGAGAATTAGTGTAAATCAGCTATATTTATTCATCGTAAATTATTTTTCTGAGTGATTAAATTTCTCTCTGCTTTAGCTGGTGTTAACTAGTGGTTCTGGAAGAAGTGTCTGCATTTCTTATTAACAAAAATTGCTTCTTTGTGTTGTGATATTTATGAAATGCAACTCCTCTAGCATTTCTTATTGGTAGAAGAAAAGGTGATAAATTTGAAGTCACATAGTCAATGGAGTGAAGTGAGATATACTTTGCAATAACTGTTCTAGATGATGACTTCTGTACTTTGTAAATTGTTTTTTGTGGCTCTGGAGCAGTATAGATGGAATCATAACTTCAGGGAATGCATATTGGATTAGAAATTTTGTTGAGTCAGGCTTGAAAGAAAATTGATTACACATTTTCTCGTGTCGGTGTCATCTCATTCTTGTTACATGTTGACTTTGGTCCGGATTTTAAAAAAGAAAAATCCTTATGTGGAAAGAAAGTCAAAATAAGGGCTTTATCCTAATGTCTTAAAATATCTTGTGCACATAAAATATCGTGTGTGCACATTAATCTTAAGAGTCTGGATCCTATCCCTAAACAGGACAAATTTTCAAAGTGCTGTGAAATATGGGGCAGATTTTGGCATACTGAAGATGAGAAGATAGGACCACTGAGATGTAGCAGTACTTTTTAATGTCTAGGTAGATATTTAAGCCTACTATAAAAAAAAAAAAAAAGGCAGATAATGCAGCAGCAGCAAGAAAGATGGCAAAAAAGGATATTTAGACATCAAGGTTCTGGTATTCAGAAAGAGACTTCCCTTTTTTGTTTGTAGGTAACTACCAACAGAATTTTCCTAACACAAATAACTATAAGTGCATTATATATTACTTAGGCATATAACACTGATTATGCCTTAAAACGAAATAATTGTATGTATAAATGCTAACAATTTCGTGTATGAGTGCTTTGTTTTTTCGGGATGCTAAATGAAGGAGTAGCACTGGAAAACCAGGACGTAAAAGTACTTTGATAATGGTGAGGAGGGAGGCTGAAATTATATCCTCTTTCTTGCTTCTCTTCCTCTATTATGAAAATGCTTTTAACTCAGTTAAAAAATGCAAAATTCTCTTTCTGACCCTAAAGTTAGTTATGCATTTCAAGTAGTGTGAACTATCTGTTCTTTTTTTAAAACCTTTCTCCCTTAATGATTATTGTTCCTGAGATTGATTATTTTGGATAGGAAGATGAACATCTAGAGCACTGAAGGTTGTGCTAATGCCTTCTTACCCTCATTTCATTACTATGCTCCAAGCAGAGCTCCAATTTGGAACCTCGCAGCTGACAGTTTATATTACGCTAACCGAAATCTGTTTGCTGGAAATGAAATTTGAATATGCCACAAGCTTGCTATCGTTAATAAACTTAATTCTTTTTTTTTTTTTTTCAGCTGGATTTCCAGTTTCCATACTTAGTACTGATGATCTTGAAAGTGCATTTGGATCGAAGACATTTTCTATCACGGAACGAATGAAGAGCCTCCTCTCCTATCCCAG